CACGTCTCATCTAAGAGCTGAATATGGGCGGCAGCTTTGATGGGGGGGGGGATGTGCGTGTACAGAATTTCTAATAATCAAAAACTCGTGAAACTGTACATATGTTCCCTTAAAGCAGCATTCTGTTTGTGCGCATGCCCTTTACAGTTTATCATTTTGCCGAGTCGCGTTTTATATTGGTTCCTTTTGCTGCAGAAAGTTAAATCATTTTGACGACCGTCAGAACCCCAAAATTCGTTGCTTACCGGCAAGAAACTACGGCGCTAGGTAAAGGTTGTAAATAAGTGAACAAGTAAGTAGACGTTTTTATGGATAACGTATGAAATGTATGAAGTACAACGTCAAGACTGTAAAAGAGTTGCGGCAGAAATAAGCAGAATTGGAGAAATCGTTTGACAACTATGTACTCGACAAGAGAATGAATTTTCAAAGGGTCACTTTCCTGGAAGGTGAAATTACGTTTTCCATGATGTTCTTCGAAAAAGCTTCTTCCAATCCTAACTCCTAAATTGATTTTCGTCAGGCTTCTTAGGAGAAGAAGAGAGCCTGAATCGAGAGCAGAAGATGAATCTCTGAATCATCGAGAAAGGGAGGCAGCCCGAAAAAGGTCAAGGAGAGAAGCAGAAACTGCAGAAGAGCGACACGCGAGACTTCAACGAGAAGCCGCGCAAAGAAGGATAAGGCGTGCACAAGAGTCGCAGGAGCACAGGGAAATTCGCCGACGGCAAGATGCTGAAAGAACGAGAGCTCGTAGGCAGCTAGAAAGGGATTCTCATCGAAATGAGCGCCTAGCACAGGATGCCGAGAGAGCTCGAGCCAGAAGACAAATGGAAGATGATGAGCAGAGAAATATGCGTTTGGCAGACAGTGCTGAAAGAGTCCGAGCCCGAAGATTGCAGGAGGATAACGAGCAGAGAGCAGCGAGATTAGAACAGGATGCCGAAAGAGCTAGAATCAGACGGCAGCTGAAGATGATGAGCGGAGACAAACGCGTTTAGCAAGTAATGCTGTAAGAACTTGGGCTAGAAGACAGCAAGAGGATAGTGAGCAGAGAGCAACGCGATTAGAACAGGATGCCGAGAGAGCACGGAACAGAAGATGTTCAGAGATTGAGTCGCAAAGGGAAGCAAGGTTGACACAGGAAGCAGAAAGATCCAGAGCTCGAAGGCAGCAAGAAGATGAGCAAACTCGAGAGTTACGTCAAGCAGAAGATGCTATGAGAGCAAGATCACGCAGAGAAGAAGAAGATGAGGAGACGCGACAACAGCGTAATGCTGCTTCAGCACGAAGAGTGTGTATTCGGAGAAGTCGCATGACATCAGCAGAGGTTCAGCAAAGGCGAAATTCGGAAGCTGAGCGATATCACACTCGTGGAAGAATCATTTCAGCTCAAACAAGGAGAATAGCCAGGACCAATCTGCAGCCGGATGAGCATTACGATGGTTTGATGAACGTCGCATGCGGAAGCTGTGGAGCAAAGCACTTCAAATCTGAATCGAAGGGTAAGAGAACTTTCAATGACTGCTGCAATCATGGCAACATCAGTATACGGCACTTCATCAACTACCCTGAGGAACTCCGTCGACTGCTCACATGTCAGGACCCTGAAGCGAGGGAATTCCGTGAACATATTCGCAGCTACAACAGCGCTTTCGCATTCGCTTCTATTGGCGCACAGCTGGATACTCCACGTGGACATGGCCCTTACTGCTTTCGAATTCACGGTCAGATTTAC